GAGGATCCAGGAATGTTTTACCCCCACACACATGGTTTTAGATCCGGACTTTCAACCGTAACCCAGCTTGCAGAGTCGTTTCGTGACTTTTCTTTTGCCGTAAACAATAAGCAACAAGTAGATGTTATTTGCGTCGATTTTTCGAAGGCATTTGACCGTTTTTTGGCACAGGAAACTAATAAGGAAATTGAAAGCACTAGATTTATGCTCTAGTATTGTCAATTGGATTGAAGCCTATCTATCAAATAGAACCCAAAGAAGAAACAAAGGCAAAGAAACTTGGACAAGAGTAACGGAACAAACACGACAGGACGGCGCTGAACTAACAACTGTTGTTTATTACACAAAAGGGGGAAGGATGAAAAGAAGAAGCATCTTAATCAGAAAAAATAGACACACACACACGCGCGGCAACCAAGCAGCATATAATTATGTCACGATAGGCCCGATCAGTGGCTACGTAATGCCCGTCATAGTCGATCGCAGGTACCCGAATTCTTTTACAGATAACGCCACTGAAGGTTCGCTGACGCATCTCCCGCCAAGTTCTGAGATAAAAAAAGGCCTCGATAATTTCCCTCGTTACTCTGCCTCTATGTCTATCCAAAACACTGACTTCACTAAAATTAGGCTGGCACTTGCAGCCCCTGCAGTACAACCTCCCAAGAGTGTCCCTGAGTGAATACGAATGCTCTCCAAGTCTGTCATTTAGGCAGCGGCCCGTCTGTCCAACGTACACCTTGCCACACGACAAGGGGATCTTATAAACCACGCCAGACACACAAGCCACAAACAGGACCACGTGCTTTTTGATGCATTTCTGTTTCGACCGCTTTTCGGCAACAGCACCGACCTTTGCACATATCTGACCCGTTTTCTGTGGGGCAGAGAACACCACCGGGACACCATAGCGACCCCCGACTTGTTAAAAGTTATGGGAAACCTGATGGAGATAGGGCACGACCACCATCCTTTTTTTTTTTTTTTCCCTTTTAGCTTTTTTTTTTTTTTTTTAAGGGAGCTAGCCACCTCAGTCAAAAGGGCGGATGGAAATCCTGACCGTTTCGATCTTTTAACCTGGCCGTTAAAGCTTTCCTTCATCAAGTGGAAGCAGGACTTTTTTCGGGCGGACCCAAGACAAGAGACCGCTCTACTCCCCTCTACCAATTTCGAGTGGCATGACCTATAATCCAGAATGGCCTTTTTTGTGCGTGGACTAAACAACCAACAAGCATGTTTCTCTTCACCGTACAACGAGAGGTCAAGATATTGGAGAACCCCTTCATTGGGTTTCTCAAACGTAAAGCTGAGAGCCCCGCCACAGTTCTGAAAAACAGAAAGTGCATTAGCCTGCGTGTCGACCCCATCAGCGCGTCCAAGCACAACCAAAAAATCGTCGACATAGCGAAATATTTAGCACAGAGTGACAAGGGGAAACTATCGAGGCCTTTTTTATCTCAGAACTTGGCGGGAGATTCGTCAGCGAACCGTCAGTGGCGTCATCTGAAAAAGAATTCGGGTACCTGCGATCGACTATATGACGGGCATTACGTAGCCACTGATTTGGCTTACCGTGACATAATATGCTGCTTGGTTGGCGCGTGTGTGTGTTTATTTTTTCTGATTAAGATGCTTTTTTTGTTTTCTTCCTTCCCCCTTTTGTGTAATAAACAACAGTTGTTAGTTCAGCGCCGTCCTGTCGTGTTTGTTATTTACGCCTGTCGAAGTTTCTTTGGCGCTGTTTCTTCCCAAGATGTTCACCTCAAACCAACTAGCGCAACACGTCACATTGCTGCAGAACCCAAAGAGTTGAAATTAATAGAAACTTATCCGCGCCATTCCCTGTAGCCTCGAGGGTCCCTCAAGGTCCTGTATTGGGCCCATCGTTGTTTTTTATATACATTAATGATCTCGCTACCCACATTCAAACGCCAACTAAAGTAAAACTTTTTGCAGATGATTGCCTTCTTTATGCTCCTGTAAACAATACCACAGACCAATTGAAGCTAAACAGAAACTTGGAAATCTTAAGTCAGTGGTGTGATGACTGGAAAATGCGGATAAATTTTCGCAAGTCAGCATACATTAACATAACGAACAAAAATAATGTTTTGAAAGTTTCTTATAAGATAGGGGATGTTAACTAGAGTAATGTGGAGAGTTTCAAGTACCTTGGTGTCACCATCTCCCATAACTTACAACAACGGACCCATATCGATCACGTTTGCTCTTCGGCAGATCGGAGGCTTCATTCGACGGAAGCTAAATAACGGTATACTAGAGACGCAAAGTTAACTGCTTACAAAACAATGATACGTCCTATTTTGGAATAGGCGAATCTGGTATGGAGTCCTAATAAGAAGATAGACAAAGTAGAAAAGATCCAAAGGTTAACTGTGCGTTTTAATCTTTCTAAGTATAGACGAACAGACTCTGTGACTAGAATGCTGAATGAGTGTGGTCTCCAGCCATTAGGAACTAGACGGAGGATTGCGAGGCTAAAACTGTTTTTTTTTTCTCTTACTCTATAATAGCCAATTAAAGATTGACCCGGAGATGTAATTGAAAAAAGGGCATTAGCGATCACGAAGGTTAGATCATGACAAGGCGGTTCAACCATGCTACGGTAGAATAGATGTTTTGAAATATCCCTTTTTCGAACGAACAATTCAAGAATGGAACAGTCTTCCACAATGTGTTGTTAACTCATCAGATATGTCTACATTTGAGTCGTCTTTAGATCAGTTTTTTTTTTTTAATAGTAAAAAGCTGGATGGATATATATACTAATACTATTAATAATGTTACATTTGTGAGTGTCGTGCGCGTTAAAACTATTATAGGACTGTATGTTTTTTGTATGAACTGTTCACCTCTCCTGTAATGGCCTTCAAATGAAGGCTGACAGTATTGTAAAATAAAAAAGGAACGGAACGGGCTTCCTCGAGAGGTAGTGGAATTAGAATCTCTTGATTTGTTTGTCGCGCGTTTAGTATAATTCATTGTTTTGCTACTGGGAGGATGTGAGTGGCTGCATAATTGACCTGGTGTATTATGTTTCATTATGTTTGCATCCTACCTGCTATGACCTCCATGTCAGATTAGCAGTATTTCTAAATAAATAAATAAACATCCGTGGTTCGAATGCCACGTGCCAATTAAGTTTTCTCCTTAATCTCACTTCCATGCGGCATTTGAAGCGCGGATGTTACGGTGATTCGCGTTCGAATCTGTTTGCAGAATGTATTTTGTAGGATGGTGCGACCCCGGCTTTAGTAACCTACCTAAAAATCTATGTCGTTTGAATTTGTTCCTCGTTGAAATGTCGGGGATATAATTTTACCCTAGTTTTTTTTTTTTTTTTTTTTTTCTATCAAAGTGATCCCCTTCGTTTTTATTTGATTTTATTTAAAAACTTCATAACCTCTTTAACTGTATTTGACGGTTGTAACATCGTTGCTTCAATGGCGCAACACTGCGTTGCTGAGGCTCTCAGAAATTTGAGGAGCGTTTACTGTTTCACGTCGTGCGCAACCTTCATCGCTGATTTCCTCTTAGTATTTACTAGCGTTCCTCGCTGACACCCTGTAGGAACAGATCTTGCCGTTTGTTTACTTTCGCCTGTTCCGTAGATATCACGTAACCTGCTTGACTTGGTGAAGTTCAAGGGACAGAGGCTCCCGTCAGGCATCGCGCTTTTATCTCTGCCCCGGCAGAGTGAACCCACGAAACAAATCGATAAAACTATCAATGTTCACCATCTGCTTTCACTGCTCCGAAATTTACTGCAAGCAAACATTTTCGGCTTTCACAATCTGCAAGTATTCATGGCATATAGCATGTTACTATAATATTTGACGCAAGCAGCACGAACCTTTCATCGTGCGTGCTTCGTTTCGTGCACTCAGCTTCGTAATGAATTGAGCGCGTGCAAATAATTTCACGAAATGCGCACACTTTTCGATTTCGAATGCGAGTTTTCGGCTTGAATCGTGAGATGGCCGATGAGCTGGCGAGGGGATCCGCTCGCCAGTGGACTCGCTGGCCTCGGGGCCAAACACGCCGCTCGAAATCTACTCGCGATGTCACGAGTCAGCTGCTGTGGAGAAGCAGCGGTCGTTCCCTCTCACCAAATGCTCGAATACGTCGAAAATACGCCCGATGCATGCTGAGGTAATTCTAAAAGTTCCCTTAAAAAGTATCGAAATGTTTGCTCGGGACCATCATGTTCCGATGAGCGGTTGGGATCAGTTTGTTCTACACCACCCGCAAGCACACAAATGTCTTCGGCTTCCAATTGATCAATGAATAGGCGCGCTTCGGAGTGGCGCCGGGGAAATGCGAGAGAGCCCACCCGAAGAGAGCAGAGGCGCCGCGCAGACGAGTGCCGGGGCTGCTTCTGTCCCCGCGAGTACACTGGGCGACGCACAAATCACCTTTGACAGAGCGCTTTCAAAGGGGTGGATCATACTAAGACGTGCAAGGATAGCAGTTAGATACAAACCGCTCTTTTTTTAACTACCTGGAGTCGGAACACACTTTTTCAAGACTATTGCAAGACTATTCCAACTATTGCCAACGGCGCTCGTTTCTACGATATATTAGGGAGAAAGATTCTAGGGTGTCCTTGGCAGGCTATCAATGGCTGGTCAGGGCCGTTGTCCGAGCGTGTGCAGTCCTTTGGTCGCACCGTTCGGATCCTGACATTCCTCATTGGGCGCGCGCACTCGGAACGGAGTCAGCGGTGTAGCGGAACGACGTCAAGGCAGCCAAGGCGCGAGCGAGAAACGGCGCAGCACGAGCAGGGCTCCTCGGGCGCGCATTCTTCTCGGCCGCCGAAGGAGCGGCCTTGCCGAGTGCCGCCGTCCCCGCGTTCCCAGCGCGTTCCGACCGCGTGGTCGCCCCCGACCGCCGAAAGGGGGTCACGGACCCCGGCGAATCGAACGGCCGCCCCGATCCGAGAGGAGCCGTCGACGGGAGCGCACGTTGGCCATACTCACTCATGCCTGGCGCCAATGCCGCTGCCAGCTGGTCCGGGCCACAACCATGGGCACCCCACGGCACGTGAGCACTGCGCCTGAGCACTGCGCACTGGCGGTTCGATCCGCTCGGCGATCGTACGATGCCTACAACACGCACGGCGGACCTCGCCCAGCTGTCCCCGGAACCACGTGGTCGGCCGCTTCCGGAAGACAGGTACGGGGCCGTATAGCAAGCAGCCAGCGTCAACAACGCCGGCAATCTCATCGCTCCCGCGTATCGCGGCGGCTTCACGCGCGCGACAAGCTGCGCCCGCCGCACTTGCTGCGCTTTACGCACGCTTTGAGAAGCCGTGTGCGCTCCAAGAAATTCACGATGCACCGCGCCGCTGCGAGCACCGCCACCGGGCCCACGCTGTTTGGACCCTTCGATGGCCAAAACGGCCGCAAATCCCTTCGGATGACGAAGCATTCGGCTATTCGACTCGGAATAAAAGAGCCTCGATCACGTTGGCTTTATCCTCTTAGAAGGTGGTGATTAGGGGCATGTTCTACAGGGTTCCCCCTTATAGCGTGAACTTTATTTAGAGGTTCTCCGTGCTGCAAGTTATCGTAAGATGTCAGGCGACAAGAAACTGTTGTCGGGTGTCTTCCCTGGCTGCTTATGCGTCACTTCTATTTTCGTCATATTTCTCGCTCTCTTTCCCCCAAGGTCAGCGCGACTGGCAAATCTCTCCGTCTTAACCTGACGATGACCGATGCATATATTCTTATGTTTACCTGTCCTTGACCGCGAATCAGACCAGCTTGTCACAGTCCTTAAAGTCTCCAACCGTTGGCAGAAGGTCCCTGCTGTGGTCACCTCGGGGCCGGGAGAAAACGGGGGGGAGGGGGATTTGTAGCAATAAAATTCTGCAACCGATATAAAATGAAAAAAATACATAAAAGAATAAAAGTGCTCGGTTCGGACCGGTATCAAGTGATAGGTTGACGCCCGGTGTAAAGTCAGCAGTGAGGCAACGACACGAAGAGGTTAAAACAAAGACAAAGAAATCTAATAGAGCGATAAAAAGAAAGTTCCACCAATGTAACGCTAACAAACAACATGGGAAAAAAAAAAAAACGGAGTTGCGGAATTTTGGGCATTGCGGCCGCGAACAAACCAAACGAAATCCTCAAAACCCAACCCGGAAACAAAAGGCCCCCTCTCCGCTCAACATGCAGCTGGGAACCAGAGTTCGCCGGCGCACAAACGAAGAAAAGAAGAAAACGCTCGACTAACGTCCGAAGGCTCACCCAAAGTATAGTTCTTGGGTCCGAAGAGGCGACGGAGACCTGGCACCCGGTGCTTGAAGTCTCCCTTAAGTTGAGGGGGGTCCCTACAAGAAGGGAGGAGGGCGGGGGTGGGGGGGGGGGGGGGGTTCTGACGAAATGTATTAGATGCACATAAAATAAAACCGACTGCTGACTCTGTCCCCACCGTACCTGCAACCCTCAAATTGCTAATCCCCAAACGTCACATCCCTGAAAACAAGCTATTTTATTGCAAGATATGGTTTTGATTTTACTAATGCTGGGGCTGTGGAGGAGGGTCCCAGACTATCCGTTGAGATTAGTGGGGGGTTCGAGACCCCCTGAGACGATCCAGACTTTAAGCCCTGCTGGCACCCAAGGAAAAGTGGATTTGTAGCTCGGTGGCCGACGCAGCAGCGCACGCACACAGAACACGCACGCTTGTAGGCAAACGCCACTGAAAGCAACACGCCTGCAAGAAGGTGTACGCGGTAGCCCTGTCCTGCGGGGCAAAGTACATCGGGCAAACGGGCCGGTGCCTAAACGACCGGTTCCGAGAGCATCATATGCACGCGAAGAAAGCTGCTTGGATTCCTAACACCGGATCGTCATCCAGGGAAAACCTGACTGCGCACCTAATTTCCCCTCCAAGAGGACCGTGGGGGGCCACCGCTAGCGCGTCTGGCGAGAAAGAATCGAAGCCTTTCGGATGGCGACGAGCCCACAGAATATACTCCGTCCACCTGGCTGTCACGAAAGGGCTTTTGCGTGGGCCCACGATGGGTGTCGACCGCCGACGAATGCCGAGAGACGACGAGGTCACCAGCAGAGACGGCTCCCCCTCATCCCGGAACCCTGGAACTCCCCGTTAGTGGAAAAACAACGGAACTCTTCCACATTGTCGGGAACATACCCGAGTGAAAATGGGAAGCAAAACGGGACAAATCATTGCCACAGAGCCTTTCCCTCTACAACTCGGGATCCCATGAGCAGATAATTTCGGAGTTAACTATTCAACAGCCTCCGTGACTTCCCTATCAGTTATCGCACTGCGAGACAAAGCGCCGCCAGCTCCGATGTATGGGCTCGACAAAGGTGTCAGGGGCAGAAGAGCAGGAACGAAAATGCTTCGCAAACACGTCTGGTGCCCAAGTTGGTTCCGAACTACAGCCCCTGTCATTTCGCGACGCAATTAGAAAAAGAGTGATGATTTTATTTGTGTCGTTGTTGTTTTCCTTCATTTCTAAACGTTGGCTTATCAGCATTATCCTGTTTCTGTTTCTCGTGCTTATACAGCTTCTTCGCCAACGCTCAAGATGAGCTAAACATTTCGCACCATTGATTCGGTCCTGTCTTCTTCAAAAGACGATGATAATGCAACTTCTTTCTCAGGCATTGCCTAAGTGACTTGGAAAACCACCGAGTATACTTAGTTTTCCCAGAAACTTTTTCCAGAAACCCTTTCGCGTACTGTGGGAATCACGTAGCTTTCCGTCCGGTGTCCGGTGCTCAAGGGGAGCTCAATGTCCCACCGCATGGCCGACGGCTACCAGCAAAGGCGGTCGCCTTCGTGGCAGTCGTCCACTCGCAAGAGTGGTTCATCGGCGATGCAAATGTCTATTGCGGACGTAGACAGGACTAAGTCCAGTACATTTCACGAGCAATTTCGCGCAGTATTGCATTGCTGGGAGCAATTAAATGTACAAAGTCTAGCAGATTGTTTGTAATTTTGTGTTTACTGCCGAAATACCGGTCTCCCAGTCATACTAAGGAAAGTTAAAGTCGTCATAGAGATATACATGAAAGTTTCCACCTTATTTCCAAGAACATTAATATGTTAACAAAAAAACTCCTTAATCATTTTTTTTTTTGGGCGGGGGGGGGGGGGGGGCGGGGTGTAGTTGTTAGTCGCCATAGAAACGTACATGAAAGCTAGGAAAGTCTACCTTATTTTCAAGAAAATTACATATGGGAGGAGGGTGGTTGTTACCAATTGGGTATTTAAAACCATCACTTGACATAACTTCAATCCAAACACTCTGAATACGGTTCGAAATCTCCCCTTCTGCGGGCCCTTAAAATTTTATCTACTGCAGTGCCACCATATTTTTGACCAGTAAAAATGTAGCCACGGTCACCCCTAAACATATTCTGCTTGGCAGGAAAATACTGATTATTCTATGTGCCAGGGGTGGCCAAGCTGCGGCTCGCGAGCCGTATGCGGCTCTTCGCGTGTTAAAGTGCGGCTCGCGACGCCCTCCCCTAACCCTCCCCCCCCCCCCTCCCTCCCTCTCCGGGCCACCCTCCCGGTCGCACGAGCACGTCCCGAAAAACAGAAATGGAACGCGTTTTAAATCGAAAGACAGATAGCAGTTAGGTAGTCTTGAGCTACTGCTGGCTACCTTACGTACAGTTGGGCTGCTTTTGACTCGGAGAGATTGGCAGTAGTTCGAGTTTCGTTTATTGCTCTAAACAAAACTAAACAAAAACAAAACAGCCTCTGATAAGAATCAGCGTGAATACTGCATTTTAACGCGATTCGTCGCATCAATATAGGAAGTTCATTAGTGAATTTCAGTTAATTATTCTACAGTCGCTTTGTTAAAGCGCTGGATTAAGGGATAAAAAAGTGAAAGCCGCTTACAACTCCCTGTAACGCCGAATTGGAGCGCAGCTCCTGAGGAGGAGGAGGGAAGGGCGCTGGGGGGGGGGGGGGGGGGGTTAGACTAACCAGGGGGGGGTTACGTGACCTTGGGGGGTCACCTGACCCCCAATGCCGATGATGTCATCACTGACGTCACTGATGACGTCATTAGTGACGTCACTGATGACTTCACCAGTGATGATGACGATGACGATGCGAATGTCGGTGACGTCATCAGTGACGTCGCTGACGACGTCATCAGTGATGATGACGATGACGATGCGGATGCCGGTGACGACATCAATGACGTCACTGATTTCGTCATCAGTGATGATGACGATGACGATGCGGATGTCGGTAACGTCACCGGCATCCACATCGTCATCGTCATCATCACCGATGACGTCACCGGCATCCACATCGTCATCGTCATCATCACTGATGACGTCACCGGCATCCACATCGTCATCATCACTGATGACGTCACCGGCATCCGCATCGTCATCGTCATCATCACTGATGACCACTGATGACGTCACCGGCATCCACATTGTCATCATCACTGATGACGTCACCGGCATCCACATCGTCATCGTCACTGATGACGTCATCATCATTGATGTCATCATCACTGATGACGTCACCGGCATCCACATCGTCATCGTCATCATCACTGATGACGTCACCAGCATCCACATCGTCATCGTCATCATCACTTATGACGTCACCGGCATCCGCATCGTCATCGTCATCACTGATGATGACGATGACGATGTGGATGCCGGTGACGTCATCAGTGACGATGACGTCATCGGGGGGTCACGCGACATCGGCGGGGGTCACGTGACCTCGAGGAGGGGGTCACGTGACCTCGAGGAGGGGGTCACGTGACCTCAGGGGAGTCACGTGACTTCGGGGGGTCACGTGACCTCGGGGGGGGGTCACGTGCCTCCCCACGAAGTCACGTGACCCCGGTGGGGGGCT